GCAGGGCCGAGTGGCAGACACAGGCAGTGAGGCCCAGCCCGAGTACATCTACTTCTAGAGACAGCTGCGGGGGTGGTGCCGGTGGCGGGACGCACTGAGTGCTTCAGGATACCACATGTGCAAGAGCCACTCCCGGTACCCCCTTTCTTTACACATCCAGGTCCAGAGAGAACCTCCATGGCTCACCTGAGTCAAGTGTCCACTCACCAGCTCATCCTTCATTTTGGCAGGCCTGCCCCTCCTCACACTCATACTCTGGTACCCCAGAAGCGATTCAACTCACAGCTTCTGCCCCACCTACCTGCTTAGATGTTCGGACTATTGGGCCGCCTCATCTCTCTGAACTGCTGCCTCATCACTCTGACAGGCCCAGGACTGTATGCTTAGGACACAGTGGGTGCTCAGCAAGGGAATGGAAAGCATGAAGATGGATGCATTGAAGAATGGAGGATGGATGATGGACGGAAGGATGGATGGACGGACGGACAGATGGACGGACGGACGGACGGACAGACGGACGGACGGATGGAGATGAACAGATGGGTAGATAGAAAGATGATTGAGGAATGGATGATGGATGGGTGGATGATAGATGGATGATTGATAGTAGACATATGGATGATGGATACATGATTTATGATGGATGAAAAATGAATGAATGGATGATGGATGGTTAGACAGATGGATAGATGATTAATGATGAATAGAGAGACGATTGATTTATGATGGATGGATGGATGGATGGATGATGGATGGATGGATGGATGATGGATGGATGATGGATGATGGATGGATGATGGATGATGGATGGATGGATGATGGATGGATGGATGATGGATGGATGGATGGATGGATGGATGGATGGATGGATGATGGATGGATGGATGATGGATGGATGGATGGATAGATGGATGGATGGATGGATGGATGATGGATGGATGGATGGATGATGGATGGATGGATGATGGATGGATGGATGGATGATGGATGGATGGATGGATGGATAGATGGATGGATGGATGGATGGATGATGGATGGATGGATGGATGGATGGATGATGGATGGATGGATGATGGATGGATGGATGATGGATGGATGGATGATGGATGGATGGATGATGGATGGAAGATGGATGGATGTATGGATGGATGGATAGATGGATGGATGGATGATGGATGATGGATGGATGGATGATGCATGGATGGATGATGGATGGATAGATGGATGGATGGATGGATGGATGATGGATGGATGGATGGATGGATGATGATGATGGATGGATGATGGATGGATGGATGATGGATGGATGGATGGATGATGGATGGATGGATGGATGATGGATGGATGATGGATGATGGATGGATGATGGATGATGGATGGATGGATGATGGATGGATGGATGATGGATGGATGGATAGATGGATGGATGGATGGATGATGATGATGGATGGATGGATGGATGGATAGATGGATGGATGGATGATGGATGGATGGATGATGATGGATGGATGGATGATGATGGATGGATGGATGGATGGATGGATGGATGGATGGATGGATGGATGGATGGATGGATGATGGATGGATGGATGATGGATGGATGGATGGATGATGGATGGATGGATGGATGGATGATGGATAGATGGATAGATGGATGGATGGATGGATGGATGATGGATGGATGGATGGATGGATGGATGATGGATGGATGGATGATGGATGGATGGATGATGGATGGATGGATGGATGATGGATGATGGATGGATGATGGATGGATGGATGATGGATGGAAGATGGATGGATGTATGGATGGATGGATAGATGGATGGATGGATGATGGATGATGGATGGATGGATGGATGATGCATGGATGGATGGATGATGGATGATGGATGGATGGATGGATGGATGATGGATGATGGATGGATGGATGGATGATGGATGATGGATGGATGAATGGATGGATAGATGGATGGATGGATGATGGATGGATGGATGATGGATGGATGGATGGATGGATGATGGATGGATGGATGGATGATGGATGATGGATGATGGATGGATGGATAGATGGATGGATGGATGATGGATGATGGATGGATGTATGGATGGATGGATGATGGATGGATGGATGGATGATGGATGGATGGATGATGGATGGATGGATGATGGATGGATGGATGGATGATGGATGATGGATGGATGATGGATGATGGATGGATGATGGATGATGGATGATGGATGGATGGATGATGGATGGAAGATGGATGTATGTATGGATGGATGGATAGATGGATGGATGGATGATGGATGATGGATGGATGGATGGATGATGCATGGATGGATGGATGATGGATGATGGATGGATGGATGGATGGATGATGGATGATGGATGGATGGATGGATGATGGATGATGGATGGATGAATGGATGGACAGATGGATGGATGGATGATGGATGGATGGATGATGGATGGATGGATGGATGATGGATGGATGGATGGATGATGGATGATGGATGATGGATGGATGGATAGATGGATGATGGATGGATGGATGATGGATGGATGGATGGATGATGCATGGATGGATGATGGATGGATGGATGATGGATGGATGGATGGATGATGGATGATGGATGGATGATGGATGGATGGATGGATGGATGATGGATGGATGGATAGATGGATGGATGGATGGATGATGGATGGATGGATGGATGATGGATGGATGGATAGATGGATGGATGGATGGATGATGGATGGATGGATGGATGATGGATGGATGGATGATGGATGGATGGATGGATGATGGATGATGGATGGATGATGGATGGATGGATGGATGGATAGATGGATGGATGATGGATGATGGATGGATGGATGGATGATGGATGGATGGATAGATGGATGGATGGATGGATGGATGGATGATGGATGATGGATGGATGATGGATGATGGATGATGGATGATGGATGGATGGATGGATGGACGGATGGATGATGGGTGATGGGTGAGTGGACGAGTGATGGCTCAGTGGATTAGTAGATGGTAATGGGTGGTTGCTATATGGATGAGTAGATAGATGATTGATGGGTGGGCAGATGATGGTTAGATGGATGAATAGGTGATACGTGATTGATTGATAAAAGGATGGTAGTTGGATGGGTGAGTGGACATACAAATTCACGGATGAGTGAACATATGAGCATACATAGACAATGGCTCAAGGACCTTTCCTCAGAAAGAACATTTCCCTTCTTGGAGATTTGACATAAATAACTCCAAAGTTAAGCTGGGTTGAAGCACATTGTTTTTGACTCCACAGAGCAAAGGTGAACCCAGACATCACCTCCTTCAGTTGCTCCCAGCACAGTGACCAGCGTGTGCAGGGGCCAGCGTGTGCAGGGGTGGTCAGCACGGTGACCAGCGTGTGCAGGGGCTGTCCTCACAGTGACCAGTGTGTGCAGGGGCCAGCGTGTGCAGGGGCTGTCCTCACAGTGGCCAGCGTGTGCCGCACAGTGACCAACGTGTGCAGGGGCTGTCCTCACAGTGGCCAGCATGTGCCGCACAGTGACCAGCGTGTGCAGGGACTGTCCTCACAGTGACCAGCGTGTGCAGGGGCTGTCCTCTCAGTGACCAGCATGTGCAGGGGCCAGCGTGTGCAGGGGCGGTCCGCACAGTGACCAGCGTGTGCAGCACAGTGACCAGCGTGTGCAGCACAGTGACCAGCGTGTGCAGGGGCGGTCAGCACAGTGACCAGCGTGTGCAGCACAGTGACCAGCGTGTGCAGGGGCTGTCCTCTCAGTGACCAGCATGTGCAGGGGCCAGCGTGTGCAGGGGCGGTCCGCACAGTGACCAGCGTGTGCAGCACAGTGACCAGCGTGTGCAGGGGCTGTCCTCTCAGTGACCAGCATGTGCAGGGGCCAGCGTGTGCAGGGGCGGTCAGCACAGTGACCAGCATGTGCAGGGGCCAGCGTGTGCAGGGGCGGTCCTCACAGTGACCAGCGTGTGCAGCACAGTGACCAGCGTGTGCAGCACAGTGACCAGCGTGTGCAGGGGTGGTCAGCACGGTGACCAGCGTGTGCAGGGGTGGTCAGCACGGTGACCAGCGTGTGCAGGGGTGGTCAGCACGGTGACCAGCGTGTGCAGGGGTGGTCAGCACGGTGACCAGCGTGTGCAGGGGCGGTCCTCACAGTGGCCAGTGTGTGCAGCACAGTGGCCAGCGTGCGCAGGGGTGGTCAGCACGGTGAGCAGCGTGTGCAGGGGCGGTCCGCACGTTGCCACCACACAGGCCCTGTTAGATGACTGCTGCATCTCCTCTGGGATGAGCACAGCTCAGGAGTCTCAGGGCTACTGTCCGGTGACGTCAGGAATCTCCAATGCAGTTTGCACCTGCAGCATTTGCCACAGACCTGGGTCTTATAGCATCTGATCCTCGGGACCCAGAGCCAAGCTGCAGGCAGCAGCTGACCTCCCCTGCCTCCACACACGGACTTATCCTGGTCACACACTGCTGCCAGCCGATCTGCCATTCAATCCCGGGAGTCCTAAAAACCCATTTTCTTACACGAAAGAGCTGTGCCTTCAGAGGCTGACCCTTCACAGAAGAGGCCAGGGCTTTGCGATAACAATCAAGGCTTTGGGGTAAGGCTGACCTGGGCCTCACCCTTCCATGGGGCCACAGGTCTGTCCTACTAGTGAGGAGGTTGAGAGTTCACCGTCTGCAGCTGCACTTGGGCTTCCTGAGCCTGCCTGAGCCCTGTGTCTTACGTGAGTGAACTGGGAATCGGTTGCTCCTGTGTAAACCCAGGACTAAGGTGAGAGGTGGCCAGCCTGCCCCAAGGCTGAAGTCCATCATGGCGATCTATGGGAGGCAGCTTTGACCTGTCCTGCAGTCTTGTCCCTGGCCCCCCTCCTGACACACCCATGTGTTGTCACAAAACAGCCACAGGGGTAGTCTTGGACTGCTCACTAGCACACAGACCAGGATCATACACACACAGCAGGGACCAGCGGAATCCATCGTCATTGAAAGGGGTTTCAAGGGAGGGTAAAACCCTTCTTTAACAAAGTGTTTTAGCAAAGGAAGTTGAAAACAAAAGTTGACATGAAGGCTGAGGTTGAGGCTGTGGTGAAGGATAAGCAGAAGCTGAGGTATGTGACCTGGAGACTGAGACGGGGGCTGAGGTGAGGTCTGAGGTAAGAGCTGAGGTGAGGGCTGAGGTGGGGGCTGAGGTGAGAGCTGAGGTGGGGGCTGAGGTGAGGGCTGAGATGAGGGCTGAGATGGGGGCTGAGGTGGAGGCTGAGGTAGAGACTGAGGTGAGGGATTGGGTAAGGGCTAAGGTGAGGGATGGGATAAGGGCTGAGGTGAAGGCTGAGGTGAGGGCTGTGGTGGAAGCTGAGGTGAGGGCTGTGGTGGAGGCTGAGGTAGAGGTTGAGGTGAGGGATTGGGTAAGGGCTAAGGTGAGGGATGGGATAAGGGCTGAGGTGAGGGCTGAGGTGGAGGCTGAGGTGAGGGCTGTGGTGGAGGCTGAGGTGAGGGCTGAGGTAAGAGCTGAGATGAGGGATGGGGTAAGTGCTGAGGTGGGGGCTGAGGTGAGGGCTGAGGTAAGAGCTGAGGCAAGAGCTGAGGTGAGGGATAGGGTAAGGGCTGATATGGAGGTAGAGGGCTATGGACTCACAGGGCCCCAGATTTGACTGTACTCATGCCTTTGTTTAAAAGGGTTTTTACCCCCATCTCCAGCATGTGGTCATCTGTAAAACAATATATTGTCCTCTCTTGAAAACTAATGCAAATTTAATGAGCTATCTAATACTATTATCAGTTCAAGTCCTCAAGAGCCTCATCTCTTCCCAAGATGTCAATCAGCTCCCTTTATTGGGCCACCGTGTATGAACTCTCCAAATGGCCCTATTCCTTTCATCTAGTCAGGGACAGTGTGCAGTCGTGTCTGAGACGTGCTTGTCTCCTAAGGTCACCACATCTTATTATAGTGCTTTCTATCTCCATCCTACTTTCACTGGTGGACAAATCGAGGCATAGAGCTAGCAAGTTACTTTCTCAGGCCACAAGGATGGCAAGGGAAGAGCCAGGGCCGGACTATCAGTTGCCTTGAACTGGCCACCATCTGTGGCCTTACAGTACCAACATGCACCCAGGGAACTCGATCGTAAAAGCAGGTCATGAATTATCTGGCGACAGAACGATGGGGACATTACAGGGAGTAAAATCCATCTCTTTTACAACTGTCCTGACGTGTTTATAGATGTGTGGGTCTGTTGGTGGGGGAGGCAGCAGAATCTCCCAAACCCCTCTCTGCCTCTGTACGGGATGGAGTCCAGCCTCTTCTTGGACAAGGGGTGAAACTACCCATTTAGAGTGATTTCTATGAAAAACAGGTTCAAGTTGATAGTTGTCACCTAGGTCTCAGCCATATTTCAGATCCTCTTTGGAACACTGGGTAGTTCTAGGACAAATTGTATTTGCAGCCCTAGTGTCAGCCTCTGAGGCATGACTGGGCAAAAAAAGAACCTTCCCTGTAAATGGGGCTGAATGGGAACACAGGGGACCAGGCAGTGGAACCCAGAACCACCCACCCAGCCCTCACTGGCAGATTCTGGCTTATTACTCTATCATTGAGCCATGGTCCAGATCTCTTTTGACTTTTTGAGTCAAAGTCTCACAAAGTTTCCTAGGCTGGTCCTCACCCTATGGCCCAGACAACTCTCAAACTCTCCACCCTCCTGTCTCAGCCTCCTGTGTAGGTGGGAGAATAGGTCTACAATGTTACGCCCAAGCCCAAAGTCTTTCAAAAGAAAGATTTATTTGTTTGTTGGTTTGTTTGCTTGTGGTTGTTTAATGCATGTGTGGCATATGTGTGTGCACACACCCGGGCACACATGCATACATGTGTATGTGAAGGTAAGAGGACAATTGCAGGGGTCAGTTCGCTCTCCAGTGTGTGGGTCCCGGGATCAAACTCAGGTCATTGAGCTTGGCGGACAGTGTCTCACCTGCTGAGCCACCTCTGGTCCTGATGAGTCTTTTGAAACAGGAGAAAGTGGTGGTGGGGAAGGCAGCAGCCTGCAGGATGCTCAGGCAACTCCAAAAAGGACCACAGAGTCAGAAACGCTTCCTGGAAGACAGGAAGAGCAGGGACTGGAGGGGTCAGTCTGTGTTCCCACATCCTGATCGCAAACCTCTTCCAAGTTGCCCCACCCTCCTGTCTGGGAATAGGACACTCAAGCCTGCCACCCTGGGATATGTTTACTTCTCAGAGAAGCTGAGGGCAGCCTGGGGGCAGGGGACACCCCCATTCCAACCCTCAGCAGCATAGGAGCCATTCTAGACAGTGTCTGTTGTAGCATGTAAGTATCTTTTCTTTGTTCTGTTTGGGAATTTGTTCTTTCTTTCTACTTCTTGGGCATATATATATATATATTGAGATAGGGTCCCATGAACACCCAGGATGTCTGAAACTCTCTATGTAGCTCAAGCTGTCCTCAAACACACAGCAATCCCCCTGTCTTACTTAGCCTTGATGATGATGGTGATGATAATGATAATGGTGATAAAGATGGTAATGGCAATGATGATGGTCATAGTGAAGATTGTGATGATGATGATGGTGATGGTGATGGTGATGGTGGTGATAATGGTAATGGTGGTAATGTTGATGGTGGTGATAATGATGATGGTGATGTAATGATGATGATGATGACAGTGATGACCACAATGAAACCATATTCTTAGAGCTCCCAACCAGCTCAGCTCCAAATGCCTAAGGGATTGTTACCTGTAACATTCCTGGGTTCATCTGCCTTCTGTGTGACTGTGTCTCTTCCCCTGCTGTCCACAGACCCCAAACCCAACTGCCAGGGACACTCTGGAGCAACCCTGGGCCCCTTCCTCTGTCCTGTCCATCTTCCCACTCTGCCATGGCTTTGTCCATATTTTTCAGCTGCTAACGTCTCCATTACCCTCAATGATAAGAAGGGCCTTAAGCAGCCTGCAGAGGGCTACAGATTACTCCACCAGTAGATGTATCCTAGAAAGTGGAAGGAAACCTTAGAATTGATTCAGGGGCAACCCTGAACAGGGTCCCTGAGTTCACAGCCTCCTAGAACTTCAGAACAAAGTCTTGCTTAAGGTCTTCAGAAAAGGTGACTTCAAATGAAGTCACAATGGACTAAAGGCCCAAGTCAACGACCAGTGTCATTATAGAAAGGCTTCTTGAGGACAGAAACAGGTATGTCCCAGGAGGAGATGCATGAAGCCAAAGCAGAGACTGGAGCCCCAGAGCCATTTGGCCATAAGCCAAGGACCCTCACACACGTACATCTTGGAGAAGCAAGAGGAGTCTTGGAGGGATCACATGGACACACACACACACACACACACACACACACACACACAGATAGATAGATAGATAGAGAGAGAGAGAGACAGAGAGACAGAGAGACAGAGAGAGACAGAGAGAAACAGACACAGAGAGAGACAAAGATAGAGACAGACTGATTTAGAATTTCTGAGCTGTGGGCAGAGAGAACAGCGCCCACATACAGGTCCACAATGCTTGCCACAAAGCAGAATGATGTCCTGAGGAGGCCCACGTGCAGAGGACTATTGGTCAGGACCAACTCTCCTACATAACATCAGCCAGTCCAGGTGTCCCCTCCATCTCTTAGTCAGGTCTGTCCCAAAGGCAACACATTAAAGGTACCTTATGAGAGGAGCAGGGGCTCACAGAGACCTGGGGGCACCTTCTTGTTAGCCTCATGTTATAGCTAATTCATCCCTCCCTGTGCTCTAGGGAGAAGCCTGAAAGGGTGTGTCCCCAGCAAGCAAAGCAGGGACAGATTTGCGGCCCCAACCTTTATCTTCCCACTGTTTAGGGAGCAGGACCTTGCTCACCCCTCAAGCCCAAATGCAGATGTGAGGGGTCAGGGGCCTGCAGTAATTAGCTTAGGAAGGCCATGTACACTTGACCTGACTGCTGAGGTCACAGGGAATCCCCTATTTTTAGCCCTGAGGTCATGTGTTCTGGTCAGACCGTAGCACCAGCCTGGGGCAGCTGAGGGAGGCTGGAGTCCTATAGTGAAGTCTACAGAAGATAGACAGGGCACGGAGCTAAGTGCACACCATGAGGTCTTCACCTGTCCTGCTGCTGGGAGGAGCACAGTCAGTGTGGGAAAATTGAGGCATGAGTGATTCAACAACAAAAGAGCCCAGGGAGGCCTTAAAGACTTAGCCAACCTTGCCTTAGCCCTTTGAGAAGCTAGGCTGTAAGCTACCTGAGGCCCCTGGGCAAGGCAAGCACCTTGCACCTCAGCTGCCATGGCTATAAAATGGGGGGAAGTGAGACACAAGAGTACGTGGTCCAGACAGCGATCCTCTGGCCCACTGCTGGTGGGGGCCTACGAAGGAGACAGAGACCTGTGTGCAGTCAGTGGCCTCCTAGAGAAGTCCCAGAGGGAGGGTAGACCCAGGGCAGCCACAGGAGCTGAGGAGGAAGGGGAGGCTGAGGCCAGCCAAGGTCACCCCTGCCGCGTCAGGCTGGGCGGGTGCACAAGGAACTTGTTTAATGGAGCTCTGATTACAGAAGATAGGGCTTTCCGAAGGCTTCCAGAGGCTGCTTTAGTGAGATTAGTATTTATTACGCCTCGAATTAGCTGGCAAGAGGGCCTGCTTCTGTGAGACACTTAGCAGAGCCTGGAAGCACAACCGTTCTTTTATTACTCCATAAACAGCCGCACTCTCCTCTTCCTCCGGCTCCACCCTCGCTCTGTCTTTTTAAGCCATTTAAACCTTTAATCAGAGACTAATTGGGCAGAGCAATAACAAATCCCTCTCGGCTCTCCCAGAGCCCTAGACAGGGAGGGGGAGGTAGCAAGACCCAGGAAAGCTCTGCAGAAGTCTCTTGCCTTCTCAGGCAGAACCAAAGGCTCAGGCCCTGAAGCACCCTGCTCCTGTTGCCCTGGCTGAAATAGAGCTTCACGGGACAAGACTGTCCCACAGCATGGCATTGCTGCCTCCTACCTGTTGCACACCACACACCCCAGGGCCGCTATCACACCGTCACCTCCACTCCCAAGTGAATTCCTCTAGGAAAGACTTCCCAGATCTGCCCAGAGATGTCACCTAGTTACCTATAGATCCATTCAAGTTGACAGTCCAGATTAACTTCCACACTTAGCTGAACCACGGGCCTCTGTTTATGTTTTGTGACAGAGACTCTTATAGCTCAGGCTAGCCTCAGACTCTCTCTACATAGCAGAAGATGGCATTGAACTCTTCATCCTGACAAGTTCTGGGACAATGGCTGTGCCACCACGCTGGGTTCCCAGGGGTCTTTTTTGGCAGAATTGGAAACATGGTCATGAAGAAGGCTATTGGCAAAGGGGGTAAACAGGAGGGTGCAAAAGTCGTACCTGCCACCGTCCATCTCACACCACTCCAAACACATGGGTGCCTTCACAAAAGCCACCTTGCACGGACATGGAGTGCTCACACTGGCTCAGGCTCACCTCCAGAGAAGGCTGTGGGGCTTCTCTGCCCCAGGCACTGCCATGAGCCTGTAGGGACTCTGAAATGGCAGGTACCAACGCTGACCAGAAGGTAAGGAGGCTGATGGATCAGCATTCTTGCCCTGTCTTCTGGGTCAATGACCCTATGGAGATGGAGCTTGCATAGCCACAATGACCTCGGTGACCATGGTCTCTCTGCTCCAGGGACTGCTGCAAGGGTGACATCAACTCGGGCTGGAGAGAGCAGCAATCTTGTCAGAAGAACTGTGGAGGCGCAGGTGACAGCCCTTCACCATAATCAGGAAGCAGAACACGTGAGTCTGCCTCCAAGAGCAGCGGTGGCCACAGCAACCACCCCAGAGCCAAGCCCCATGAGCACCTGCCCTGTAGTTCCCCTCCATCGCAGTCTCTCCAGACTGTCCTGTCAGTCATAGAATGTCACAGAGGAACACCACAGGACAGGGAAACTGCCAGAAGTCAAACAAGACGGGGCCAAGTGACCTCAGGCTGGCTTCCTCCATGAAGGCTTGCAGGGTACAGGTGGGAAACCCAGAGCATGGGGACATCTTCAGAATCTAGCATCAATGTGCACTGTTATTATCATTGAGTATAATGAGTAAGCCCAGGATAGATTCTGGTTAAATACTGAAATGAGGGATTCGACTCAAACAGGAGGGACTGTGACTCGCAATCAGGGTGGGGGCCATCACTGCCAGAAGACAGCCTCTAGACATGAAGCAGGAAGCTGGCAGGTACTTGAACTTAGAGGGGCTGGGGCAGTCCTCCTGTGTGGTTATGTCCTCCTGTGGCCATCTTCACAAAGCAGTCTGATGTCTCTCTCATATCATTCCACTGGAAAGCTCAGTATCATTTAAGCCAGTGGGGAAGTGACAGCGTCCAGCAGGCAGAGCCTGGCATGCTTGTCTGCCCCAGACACACTCCCTGTGGGGCTTCATTGTCCTGGGGGTTAGGCTGTGTAGCTGAGGGAGGCATCCTCATCTACCTCCTGCGGACCTGGCTGCATTAGGAGCCTACCCTGCCAAGCACCCCACTGCTCATTGCAGTACCAATATACTAAAGAATGGAGCATCCAAGTGCCTCTTGCTCCCAAACAGTCATCTATCAGCCCTTTCCCTGTTTTTCCCACCAAATGCCCTACTTCACTGTCAAAGGAGGGAAGAAAAAAAGAAAGGCCAGAGACGAGGGCTGGGTTAGGCGAGAGACCACACTGTGTTGGGGGTGGGAGAGCTGGCTGGCTCTTTGAACTGCCCCCTTTGTTGTCATAGGACCTGATAAGCCCACCCAGCACAAAGGCGTCCAGGGTGAGCATATGGACTCCATTACTGTCCCCTGCCTCTCTGTGCACATCGCAGCCGCCACCCACCAGATGCAAGCTTGCCTAGCGGAGGGGTTAATTTTCTTAAATGGATTTTAGTCGAGTGGGTCCAGGCCTCTTTAGAGTAAGTAAGGTTGACAACTTTCTCCCTCTGACCTTGATCTGCCCTTGGGATCTCACTGTATACTAGCCCTGCATTGATGATCACCTTTTTGAGCCAAAGTCAAAGCGGGGATAGCCGGCTGACCTGCTGCTTGGGAGAGGTCCAGTGGGTTCAAATATCAGCCTGTGTGATTGCAGCCAACAGGTAAAAGCCTTGCCTCTGGTTGGTACTGGGCATGCTCCTTAGTAGCTCTGTGCCTCGGTTTCCCCTGTAGCATCATGACTAACAAGGAAGAAGAAGAAGCAGCAGAGGTCCTGGGAAGGGGACAAAGAAGATGGGAGGGCAAAGGACTCCGACACACTGACCTCAGGATAAACAGATGATGCAGTGAACTGGGCCCAGAAATAAACTTGACTTTCGCGGTCGTTTGGTTTTGGCACGATCATCGGTGGGGGAGATGCGCAACCTCCACAGACAAAAGAATCAAACCAACCCCCACCTCACAGCAGATACAGAAATGAACTCAAAATTGACTGAAGGCGCAGATATAACAGCAAAAACTGAAAAGCTCAGAAGACAGAGGGTCTGTTATTCTGACAGGCTGAAGCTTTGCTGGCACCGACCCAGCTGAGTCATGAGTGCAGCCCGTGCAGCTCTGAGCTGGGCAGCACCACGGACTGGCTGAAAGAATCCAATCCTGAAAGCAAATCTGTAGCGTGAATTCTAGCTGGTCTTAATAAAAACACAGCGACAGATACTGGGGTTAAAACTGAAGATCAGAGAAGCAAGGTGGTCAGCCACTAGAAAGTTCTCACCTCTGCCAACGCTCAGACAGAAGGAGTGAACCACTGAACCTCAGATTGCATCTCCAGACTGCATCTGTCTCCACCACACCTCAGACTGCACTGAGCCCGACTCCTTCCACCTTGTGATTCCTCTCTAGTGCTGGGATTAAAGTGTGTGGAATCTCAAGTGCTGAGATCACCTCTGTGTGAGCTCTGTTTCTCTTTTAGACAGCTTCAATCTCATGTAGCCCAGGATGGCCTTGAACTAACAGAGTCTGCCTCTGTCTCCTGAGTACTGGGGTTAAATGTGTGTACCACCACCGCCTGGTCTCTATGGCTAGCTAGTGTGGCTAGCTTTGCACTCTGATCTTCAGACAAGCTTTATTTGCTATATCATAAACAAAATATCACCGTATAAATCTGAACGCAGCGTGGGTGGAAAGAGTTGGGCAGGGCCCATGGAGGGAGGAAACTGCCACTGGATTTGAACCCACCACTCATCTCTGCCATACTAGCACAAAGGAAACAATGTCTGGGCTTCAGTAAAACTTCATTAAGAAAAGCAAGCCGTGGGTGGGATTGGAGCCGAGGCCACAGTAACACTCCCTGCTCTCCTACACACAGGAAACAGCCCTCAACCTCAAGTGCCTATGACCAGAAGGTGACCCTAGAGAAAGCAGGTGACCTGATGGGAGGGAACATGGCCTCCATCCGCCACCCTCACAGAGGGCTCTTCATAGCCAAGCTCCACATGGCTCCCACTGACATTATCTGCTCCCCTGCCTTTTAAAGAGAAGTTTTCTTCTGCGTGCCTTCACCTGGGCAGGGAGGACCACTTTGATCTAGAGAGTGCATTCCTGGGAGGACTTCATGTGGTGATTAATGTGGAGATGACAGGGTTGTCATAGAGCGGGCTTCTTCCTGGAGGCTTTCCTTCAAGCTGGCCCCACAACGGATAAGCCTTTGACTAGCAGCATAGAAAGAATTCTGCAGAGCCACAGTCAGCCCAGAGACACTGGGGGGAAGACACGCTGGCTGAGGGACAGGGGTGCCAGCAAGCCCAGACCTGCTTGGCCTCAGAACCTTCAGCACATCGGGCAGAAGCACAAGGCTGACCCCTGTGGCTTTCTCAGCCGAGTCACGAACCTTGAGGTGACCCAAAGAGGCACCCATTCGCCACCCAGAGTGGCAAAGGGTCTGGGCTACAGCGTGAGGCTGGAACCCCGCAGGCCTCACTCTGCATGAGTGTCTTCAAAGTGGATAGGACAAGGGAAGAGCCAAGGGGTGCTAGAGGCAGAGCTCCGGTCCCGTTTATGGAGCCCCCTCAGGCCAGCTGCCCAGGATACGGCTTGGGTGGGCTGGGATCCCTGTGGTGGTTTGAATAAGAATGGCCCCCATAAGTTCATATATTTGAATACTCGATCCCTAGTTGCTGGAACTGTTTGGGAAGGATTAGGAGGTGTGGCCTTGCTGGAGAAAGTGTGTCATTGGGGGTGGGCTTTGAGTTTTCATGAGACTGCCATTCTGAGTCTCTCTCCCTCTCCCCACCCCCACACACATCTGCCTTGTGGTTATGTCTCAAGATGTGAGCTCTCAGCCACTGCTCCATTGCCATGCCTGGCTGCCTGCCATGCTCCCACCAGTGATGGCCATGGATTCTACTCTATGAAACGGCAAGCCTCAGCTAACCCTGTCTTTTATAAGTTGCCTTCCTCATGGAGTCTCTTCACAGCAATAGAGAAGAACTAAAGCAGTCCCTTCCTGAGTTTGCTTATGAGGAATCAAAACCTTGGGAAGTCAGTGTCCTTCCCAAGGCCACCCAACTAAGGGTCTGAGCAGAAGTAGGTCCCAGCTGTGATTCTGCTCTGAGCAACTGCACAGGTATGGTGCTCCCTACCTGCACAGGTATGGTGCTCCCCTCCAGTAGAGGAAGGGGCTCTGCCATTCACCCTGGACCCTTGAGCCACCCCGCCAAATTCCATGCTCACACTCACACTTTTTTTTCTGTGTCTCTACCCCCCATGATCCTTCCCAAGTGGCAAGTGTGCTGTCTATGCTGGTTTGTCTACCCACAGGGCAGCTGGTGAGATCAACCAAACAGAAACACAATGACCTCCCATTGCTCTGGATTCAAGTTTATACACCTCTCTCTTGTGAACTGGGATAGGGGAAGTCAGCCCTGCAGAGTTGGTGCACATTTAGGGCACAAACTAGCCCATGTGTCTCTGCCTTTGCCTAGGCTATAGCACCCTCAGCCAAACTCCCTGGTATCCAACCTGGGACCAGCTAGAGTCTCCTAGGGGGGCCCTTGGTCAACTATGACACTATGGAGTGGCCAGTTTCCAACCACACTCAGACAGGACTCCCTGGAGTGCTAAGATGCAGGCATCGCAGCGCTGAAACATTAACTACTATTCAACACCAAAGATAGGAAATGGACACTCAAAGGCTAAAAGGGAGGACGCCCAGCTGCCATCGGCACCTGTCACTAAGGGGTTTGATACATGGGTACAACACAGTTTTTACATCCACACATGACCCTGCACCTCAGAATAGAAGGGTTCCCTGCACACTGCAATACTGACCAGAGAACCCCCACCTCCAGCCTGGCTACCACAGTATCTTCAAGGTCCCTGAGAGCTCACGGCTGGGCTGAGGCAGGTACCACCATGCTCTCCTGAGCCCTCTTCTCTCCCATAGGGAAGCAGGGTGCCCTGGGCTTCAAACACCTGGGCTCTGTGACTCCTGGTAACCGAGGAGGGTGGTGACAACTGCTGGGAGAAGCTTTAGCCCTCGGTCACAATGGGCCCTGGAGAAGGCCACTGCTAGTAAAACAAGAGCAGAATCAGATGCAGCCATGTTCCACCCCTTCCTTCCTTCCTGGCCAGCCAGGAATTGGGTAAGGAGGGGTCTCAGTAGGGTAACAGAGCTGTTGCTCTAGACCCCCACATGCAGAGAGGGGCCACCAGCTCAGACCAAGCCACTCAGTCATGATGGACTGTGTCCCCTCAAATATGAGCCAAAACAAACCCTCCTCCATGAAGTTGCCCCATTAGGAATGGATTTGCTGATAGAGACAAGAAAAGCAGCTGCCATGGAAGATTCGTGCTCGAGGGACAGAGTGGGTGGGGGAGCATGCATCTGTCCTGTGAGAGTCAGCCTTGACCATCAACCTGGAGTCGAGATGCTTCTAAGGAGCTTACAGATGTCAGCCAACCTGACAGTGGGAAATGCTGGTACCTACGCAAAAGCTGTAAGTCACTTCCTGGAGCCAGGCAGGAATTGTGAGGGAATCCAGGCCACCTGGTCAGTCAAAGCATCTGCCTGCCATCACCAGGGGACCTAACGGTGCTTGTGGCCTGGGACTGATGAGGAATGACTCCAGCAAACAAAGCAAACAATGGGTTTGTTCTACAGATTCTCTGGAGGTGTCCCAGGAAATAAGCAAAGGAAGCAAGGTAAGACATTCAGCTGGCAACTTCAACACAATCTCATCATGATCCTACCCGGTGATGTGAGCATTTCAGGAACAAAGTTTGAAACTGTCGCTGCAAAATAGACCAAGTGAAATCAGAAACTGGCCTGAGGGTACAGTTAGCAAAACCCCACACCAGAGCCCAAGCAGTCAAGGCCCCCAGACAGCGACCTCTCTCGGAGGGGAAGTGGACATGGGACACACAGGCAGGCCTAGATCCATGGAAGGTTCCCCTGGTGACCAGTCAGCTAAGGAGCAAAGTGGCTTCTGGTTGACAACAGAGACCAGAGCCTTTGGTGGAGGAGTTCCTTCACTCTACACATTTAAGTGTTTAGCATAAGACTGGCCACTTTAGGGATGAAGAGACACCTCATCCAGGAAAGGTACTTGCCTTCAAGCCTGATGACCTGAGTTCAATCCCCGGGGAACCACATGGTAGAAGGAGAAAACTGATTCCCACAAGTTGTTCCCTGACAAACACCCATGTATGTGGGTGTGTACACAAACACTAAATGAAAAATCTTAAAAGACTGATGTTAACTTTCAATTATTAAACATTTGTACTTCTTTAATGTCTAATGATATTTTGTTGGTTGTTTTTTGGTATATTGTGTCTTTCTTTTAACATTTCCAGCATAGATAATTACAGCATCAGGCACAGGTGACTCTGAGGCACGACTGAGCTGGACGGTATTGTCTCAAAGCCGATGTGAAGCAGTAGGCGAGGCATTTGCTGTTTGTCATCTAACCCTATCACATCAAGTGCTATGGGAGAAACAGGACAACTTGTGATTTGGGGGGATTCTCAGGATTTTGTTGTTGAATCTTAGTATCGATCTCTGGGGCTGTGGTTCAGTTAGTAGAAAGTTTACAGCACAGCTGGTAGATCGTTTGTAGCTCTGTGGGTAGAGTGTTTGTCTGCTGTGAACAAAACCCCCAGTGCCACATAAACTAGGAGTGGTGTTGTATGCCTTTAATCCCAGGCAGAAACAAGATGGGGAGTCCAAAGGCACCCCTGGCTACACAGTGAGTTGTAACGCCAGGCTGGCCTACATGAGAACCTGTCTCCAAAAATCAAAAATAGACTCTGCTGGAATCTGGAACTGGGCAGCAGGAGCTGATACTGACTGTGCTGGGATGGGTGACAACACAGACAGCCCATGCCCTGGAGATGGCAGCCAAGGCCAGCAGCCTAGCATTACAGTGCTGGCATGAGTGACCCGTGAACAGAGGGTTTAAAACAGCAGTCCTCAACATGTGGTCACATATCCTTTGGGGATGAGTGACCCTTTCACAGGAGTCACCTAAGACCATCAGAAAACAGATATTTACATTATAATTCACAACAGTCTCAAAATTACAGTTAGAAAGAAGCAATGAGAATAATTGTGTGGTTGGGGGTCACCACAACACGAGGAACTGTATCAAAGGGTCACAGCACTAGGAAGGCTAAGTTTAAAAGAAACTATCAAGACAGCCGTTGGATTCTGGAGATCCACACTGCTCTTTCTGTAAGTTTATGAACTTTTAGTGCACAGACTCCTGTGAGGCCTCAATGGTGTGCCCACCCTCTGTTACCCAGCCAAGGAGGAACAACACATCAAGCCACACTGGTGGCCTGGGCTCTCCAGACAGAGTGCTTCCCCTGGCCCCA